ATTATAATTTTCCAGGCATGGGTTTTGGTGAGAGAGACTGAATTTTAATGATTGGTTTCTATGTTTGCTTTTATGAAATGAGCCATGCTCAAATATTGTCATTATAAATATGCTTATTAAAAAAATAAGAATTTAATCTTCTCAGTGAGATTCATGTCTCAGGAGAGGCGATCAGTTGTTTGGGTTCATTTTTCCTTAAAACTATATTATTAGATATTGTATTTTTTTTAAAGACCATGCTTGATTTTTTTTCTCAACTTTTCCCTGAAATATGTTCCAAAACTTTTTTTTGCCTATTGAAATCAGTGGTTATTTAACAGCTATTTTCCACTAAAAACAAAGAAAATAAATTGTATACATCAAGAAAACAAAGAGACACAAGCATTTAACCAAATATTTTGACAATTTAAAATCAAACTAATCAAAGTCATATTATGAATTTTCTGCTGTGAATCAGGTAACATTCTTTAGTTCCTTCCACCTGCATGGCACATTAGTTACCTTCCTTTTTGTGTCCCAGCAGTCCTTTACATTGTGCAAAGGGATGCACAGTGAAAAGGGGATGAGGGAATGTTTTTACAGAAAACCAGTTCAGCTATTTGATACCTATAGGCTTTCCAGAATAGAGAGGAGTCATTTATGTACCTAAATTCCTCGGTAAGGGGAACACAGAAATGGGAGGGAAGAATTTATTAAACCTTCAGGCCAGATGACCCTGATGTGCCATCAAGATCCCTGATGTGTTGGGTCGGGTACTCCCAGGGCAATTGGCAGCTCCCTCCTGGCCAGTCCCGGCAGAAATCAGGATATTCAAATGCAGGGAATTTGTGTTATCCTGGCGGGGAGTCAGAAATCCTGGAGGGCACCTGGGACAGCATGAGGGCTGGGAGGGCTGCCATACCCACAGTGCAGCCATAGCCTGAGATACCTACTTGAGTCTCCCTTCTTCTGAACTTCACTTTTCAGCCAAGGGCTGGATCCTGTTAAACTATAAAAGCATATATTTCATGATAAAAGGTGATGAGAAGTAAAATCATCCTTACAGAAGTTAATTTGATATTTACAGTACCCCAGTGAGAGGGAGCAAGCTCATTGCAGCACGCCCTCCCACTGCAGACAGACCCAGCATGGAGAAGAGGCCTCTGCAGAGGAGTGACTTTATGCCTCTTGATATACTGTTTTAGTGATGGTGTAGGGCTACATCTTTTAGTGTTTGAAAGAATTATATAATATATAAGACTGTGGTTTCCTTTACTGTTAATTCAAGCAGTTTGATGCCTCAGGTCTAGATGGTTCTTTTCTGGTTTTAATATAAGTGATACAATATATAACACTGGAACTATCATAAATACAGGTACATCAATTCATAACTTATAATCAGTAAAACTCTACTTTTAATCATAAAAGTACCTGTCCTTCAAGAGCTTAATGAAATTGTCATGTAGACACGAGAGGCTCTATAGATTATTATTTTATTTTAATTACGTGAATTTCATTCACATGTTCATTTACTTACTCATTTATGATTTTATTCTTATGATTCTTGCACTAATCATGAATAATGTAGTCACAGAAAGATGCAGTTCAGCAAGTGTCAACATTTAAGCATGTGAATTGTCACTTTGAAGTCACATATCTTACTGGTCAATCCACAATGTAGTACAAGTGATCTCAGAAGAGCTTCACCAGTGGTAGAGTTTGCTTGAAATGACTGGGTAGATCTTTCAGTCAGCCTTTCTGTGGCAGGACAATAAAAAACTGGCATGACATGTTTGATATAATTTCTTCTGGAAAATAATAAAAACTATTTGAAAATTAATTTCTTTCTCCTGTCACAAACAATCTGTTCAGAAGCTCTATGTCCTTGAAGACAAGAATCTTAAGAATTCACCATATGGCCTGAATTAGATGGATTCATGTGGAATAATTTAAACCATTTACATTACTCATCTGCTACAGAAAAATACACACATATGTATGACACATATATATATATTATATATATATATATATATATATATCAGTGGAGCTAGGCATCAGGACTGTCTTCTGAAGGGCATTCCAGCATTCAGGCAAGATGTCTCAGGGTGACTGTCTCAATGCTTAAATGAATGCAAGCATACAGTGGTGAAGGGCCACAGTCAGCAGCAGTAATTTCCCAAGATGAAGGAGTTCAACGAGGACAGAGATAGCTGCTAATATTTTTCTATGGTTATGTTTTATTTATTTGTTAAAAGAAAAACAACAACTACAACAACA